AGTTTAGCAAACATTAATGGCTTCAGAAAATCTAGATCACGTGAGAATTTCAAACTACTTTCTGCGTTCTTTTCCCTTTTGATCAAGATTCTTCAGTAGAATCTTTGATCAAAATGTTAGTAATGGTAGTGAGGCACCATGCAGTTCTTCTGGTCCCGTGGCAGCTGCACATTTCATTTCCTCTTCCTGTTCCTACCTCTCCTTCCTCTGTTGCGTTAGGTGAAGAGGTCAATTATTGTGTCTTGGTGACTGCTCCCAAGCTTTTCAGTTCAGACACTGCTAACAAGGAGGTAGCATTGTACAAGCTGTTAGGCCAGTTAACTGAAATGTTGCATGAAACCATGTAAAAGTTTAAAGAAAGGAACTCAGAAGCGTTTGCTTGTATACAAGTAGTCTCAGCAAATACTTTTTGTTTATATATCTGTCTATCATACAGCTTTTGCCCATTCAGCTTTTTTACAGGTGTACAACTTAACTGATGCGTGAAGTTCAAAACTGCCAGCTGCTCTGCCAAAGAAGGAAGGCAGTTTCTTCCGGTGTGATTAACTGCCTCTCAAAACCTGCTGGAGGGTCAGCTGTGGGTCAGCTCTGACCCCACAGTACTTAGCAACAACTTATTAATAGCAATTACATTAATTACATTAGTTGCATGTGCAACCCTGTTTGTAATCATTGTCAGTTTTTCCCATCAGTGTCAACTGCAACTCAGCACTCCACCAGCAGTTACTTCGAGCTTTCCTCTTCCCTTTTCTGTGCCAGTTGCAGTCTCAGAAACCTGCTGAAGGGTCAGCTATGAGTCCGTGCCAACTAACTGGCAATGAACCTTCTCAACCAAGCTTTGTTATTTTCTGCTTATGTTCTTTTTATTTTTCCTAAGTTGTAGCCATTCTGATGGGAGTGAAAGGCTATATATCTCATTGTGGATTTGATTTGCACCTCTCTGATAGCTTATGGCTTTGAGCATTTTCCATGTACTTGGCGACTTGCTTTGGTGGAATGTCTAAGTCCTTTGCTCATTTTGTGGCTGAGTTATTTGGTATTTTGTTATTAAATTGTTGAAGTTCTTCATTACTTCTCCCTGGAAGGACTGTGACAGTCTCTTTAACTAATTTCCCCCTTAGTTGTTCTTTTTCTGTATAATTTTTTTGGATGCACTAGTAAAAAAATTATTATGGTGGCAAAATATGAAGACATTGCTTAAACACTGGATGCTGGTCAATACTATTTTTATAGTCCTAATCATAGTCCTAAATTAATCCAATTCCTTTAGGAATGAAAGTTTTCCTGCATAATTTTAATAATAAAAACAGCTTATAAAGTGAATGTTTGCTTTTAACTGTTAATTCGCTGCTGTGTAGCATGCTCTTGCTGTTAGTTGTGTTTGTGTCAGTGCTGACTTATGGTGACCCTCTCTGTGCTAAGTTGAATTGTTGCATGTGGTTGTCAACACTGTGACCCTTTAGGAAGCAGATCACCAGGCCTGTCTTCCCAGGCACCCCTGGATGGATTTCAGTTGCCAACCTTTTGGATAATAGATGAGCAATTAACTTATGTGTTACCCATGTATTTCACCTAACACCCTGACAATTACTCACTGCCATTAAGCTGATGGTGACCCTCCGTTAGATTTCTAAGGTTATAAATCTAAGATTCTAAGGTTATAAGAGAAGACCGCCTTACTTTTGTTTTGTAGACTAACTGGTGGATTTGAACCAACACACTTAAGCCCCCCAAATTAAGTAGGTTAAAATAGAAGTTCTTTTATTAGCTTTTATAGTTCTTTTGGTTGACTGACTTCAGCTATGTGGTTCTCACCTGGAATCGCACTGCAATTACAGGCAGACATTGACTGGTGCTGTGGTCATCTGTGGGCTACCTGCTCAAAATGACTCGACCATGACTCGCAGTTAACTATTGACTAGTGTCCCTACACATGGCATCGCTGTGTGACTTTAGCTTCTCACTGCATGATAGATAGATTCCTTTAGCTTCTCACTGCATGATAGATTGATTCCTGGACGGGGTGTCCCTACAATGATTCTTCTAAGAGACAGGAAATTGAAGCTGCTAGGCCTTCTTCTAAGAGACAGGAAATTGAAGCTGCTAGGCCATTTAAAGGCTGTGTCCAGAATTGGCACAGTACCACTTTTTTTTATTATTTTTTTAAAATTTTTTTTGTATTATTTTTACGTGTACCATCAAATCAGATCTGACTGGTAAAGGAGGAGATTGCCCCCTCTTTCTCCAGCAGAGCATCTGGTGGATTTGAACCACGTACCTCTGGGATTGCAGTGCAGCGTCTTGCCACTAGGCCACCAGAGCTCCCTTGGCACAGTATCACTTTTGTCACATTCTCTTCATCAGAGTAAGCTTAAGGCCTTTCCATATTTAATAGGGTGGGTTGGTAGACTCTTGAGGGGAAAGTGATCAGGTCATACTGCAGACATATAGAATGGGAGATAGTGATGGTGGTGGTGTTATGTGACTTTGAGTTGCCTTCAACTCATGGTGACCGTATGTACGACACCCTAAACCCTGCTCTATATTGTGCAAATCTTATTGCCTCTTACACATCTACCCTGATTATCCCAGTCACTGAATCAATCCACCTCATAGAGGGTCTTCCTCTCTTGTGCTGTCCCTCCACCCTCCTAAGCATGATGTCTTTCTCCAAGGACTGGACCCTCCTTGAAACATGTCTAAAGTATGTCAAATGAAGCTTCTGAATCCTTTCCTCCAAGGAGCAGCCTGATTTAACCCTCTCCAGACTAAGGGCTGCCTGATACAGGCCATGGTTTTTGCAATCACTTGTTATGCATCAGAGAGTTGGACAATGACTAGGGAGGATAGAAGGAGAATTGACACTTTTCAGCTGTGGTGCTGGAGAAGAGTATTGAATGTACCATGGATTGTCAAGAAAACAAACAGATTTATCCTAGAGAGGGTTAAACCAGGCTACTCCTTGGAGGCAAGGATTCTGGGGCTTCGTCTGACATACTTTGGACATGTTGTAAGGAGGGCCCAGTCCTTGGACATCATGCTTGGTAGGGTAGAGGGTCAGTGCAGGAGGGGAAGACTCTCTATGAGGTGGATTGATTCAGTGACTGGGGTAATCGGGTTGGGTGTGTCAGAGGCAATGTGATTGGCACAGGATAGTGCAGGGTTTAGGGCTGTTGTGCATAGGGTCGCTATGAGTTGCAAACGACTTCGACGGCGCATAACAACAACAACAACAATTTCCGAGGAGGAGATTGCCTATCTTTTCTCCTTTGGAATAACTTTTAGACCACTAGAGAGGCACCCCATCTTTGGGTTAACAGCACAACTCCGTACGGACTCCTACACCAGAGCTCTGTATACCATCAGTGCATGCATGTGTTTTGACAGACACACTTCAATCCATACCATCATCTGTTTTCTTTCTGTTTCTTACTCTATTCTCTCTTAGTCTGTAGCTTAAGTGAACACACAGGAAAAGGATTATTGATATTCATGGTTGATCTGTAAGAGCAAATGAGGAAGGGAGAGATGGGAGCTAGAGTTGGCGATCTGCCTTATGTAAGGAATTGGACCGAGCATGTCAAACAGGATTTTCTTTTATTTGATATTCTACAATATCAGCACTGCATGCTCTCGCGCTCTCTCTGTCTCTGTGTGTGTGTTTTGTTGTGACTGGTTAAATGATCTTAAAATATATGGGAAGAAAAGGAGTAAGGCAGTAATGTCCCAGCTAATGAAGAGGAGACACAGGACAGTATTACTTGTGATTATGCTCCCAAAGCTTTCAAATAGATGCTTACATTTAGAATATGTGGCCAAAATGATGATCTTGGTTGACGATGGGAGCTGACCACCTTTAGACTAGGGGGACTGAGTTTTTAGTCTGCAGATGGGAGCTTTGCTGGTTCTGCGTTCTTGAGGAGGCACCTACCAGGGGAGCATATGTTTGCATGGCAGGTGTGCCCGTCTGTCTGTGTGCATAAACATGTACACGTGTGTGCCTAAGGAGGCAGAATTGGGGTAGAAGGCAAGCCCTGTCCTTGCCCAAATCTTTGATTAAAAAGGGAAGACCGTGAATTCTGCTTGGCACAGTCTGAAGGAAGATATTCCATGTCTTAAAAAAAACAAACAGTGATAAAAAACCATCTATAATGTCTGAGTTTCCTGGTGGCAGATGGAAGGGGATTTTCAAGTCTCCTTGCACTTAGTGAAGCTATGACGTTTTTACCGAAATCCAAGGTAGAGTGAATTTCCTTGACTTCTCTGTCTGGACTCTTCCTTTGGTGTAGGAACGCCATTCTGCATAGAATTAAAGATAATCTTTGTGCCTAGCATCAATCAGTGCAGCATTGGCTCACTGCCTGTGTGTCCTCTGCTTCCTTGGATGATTTTTAAGGACAGTCTGCTTTCCTGTGCCTTGAACTTCATCGTAAGGTGAAATTCACTGGGTATAAATATTGGCGCCTGTCATTGTTCACAGCTCTCAGAAGAAATATTCTAGGGTCCTTGAAGATGAATTGATACAGGTAATGTATCCTGCCTCATTATCCTTGGCCTAGACATCGATGGTTCTAGTTATAAAGTCATCAGTGCTGGAGATTGAAGAAGAGGATACCATTTTTATCACCCACATTTTCTTACTAGTTAAGAACATTCAACCAGGAATAGAATCCCCGGACCATAGTGTTGCCATCCAGCCCATATTCCACCTCTTTGTTCAAAAATATTCCCTTGTTCTTTAAGCTTTGGAAAAGCCATTTTATCTTGTTGTTGTTATCCTAGATACCTTTTTTTAAAAAAAAATCTATAGTGTAGTATAGATGATGATGTAACTTTAGAACCAGAGGTGATCTTTTACATGTTTGCTAATATGAGAGAAATGATATCTTCCTTTCATTTTGCTGATTAATATTGATGTCAAACAATTATTTATTGACCATAGTTATATAATTTACTCATTTTTCTTTTATTTTAAAAATTTTATTATTATTATTATTTTTTTTCACATGAAGTCTTCATAGTCTTGTACATATCCTCCATCATAATCACCATAGTCTGCCAGATCATCTTTCATGGTAGCTTTTAATCCCCCTCCAGGAACCACACCTTTCTTCTTCTTTTTGGCTCTGCTTTGCTTTTCTTGCTTCTGTTTTTCACTGCAAAGCACAGTCAATGAATTGGTAATCTTTTTCAAGTCATCAATTTCCAACGAAATACACACATCTCGAACTAAGGCTTCTAAAAAGCTGGCATAATATAGTGACTTTTCATATTGTGTAATTTTATCTTTTAGTAATTTTCCAAACTCTGTGAAGTCATCTCTTGAAGATGGGTTCATCGCATCTATTCCATAAACTGTACTATTAACACCAAAAGTCTCTTTTGCTAATTCCAGATCTGCCTCTTCTTGTAATTTCTTTAGTCGAAGTTTATCTGCTAATTGTTCTTCTGGTGTCAGCATTTTAGGCTCTTCAGGTTCTTCTAGCCTCTTTTTAATTTCTTCTTGTCTTTTCTTTTGTTGCCGTTCCTTTTCTTTAATCTTTTCTGCTATTTTTTTCTTTTCTGAAATCTTTACTTCTGGTTTTTCTTCAGTTTCTTTTTTTTCTTCTTCATCATCATCATCCCAGTTATCCTTGACGTCTTCGTCCTCGTCCTTGCCTTCCCAGCGGTCCCCGCCGGCGGTGCCGCCGCCCCCCACCTTCCGCACTGGATCCTCCAGCGAGAACGTGTCCGCGTCCCAGGAATCGGAATCGCCTGCCGCCGCCGCCGCCGCCATCTCGGACCGGGTGTGTGAGCAAAATTTTATTATTTTTTTATGTGTGTACCATCAAATCAGATCTGACTGGTACAAGAGGAGATTGTCCCTCCTTTTCCAGCGAGCATTGGTGGATTCAAACCACATACCTCTGGGACTGCAGTGCAACTTCTTGCCACTAGGCCACCAGAGCTCCCTTCAATTTGTTTATTTTTTTTATGAGTTTCTTTAAATTTTTTATTTTTAAAACTCTTAATGTGTTAAACAACTTATTGTCATTTCTGTTCAAATAGGTTCTCTCAGCTTGCTATTTATATTTCCATTTTTATTACTTTCTCTTGACATGGAGGGAAAGAAAATGCAAACCTGCCAGACTTGCCATGGAGTCGGCTTTTGATTTTGAGTTTGGAAAGTTTTCCCCAATGACAACATTTTCCATGTTGCTTATCTAAAAGAGAGTTAAGTAAACAATGGCCTATACAAGCCAAATATGGCCATCCCTTGCTTTACACAGTCTCTGCCAGATTGCTAAACATGGGCTTTTTTATTATTTTTAATCTTGTTCTGCATTTTTCTCCTACTCTATCTAGCACCCTCAGTGATAGCCACCTACCATCCAGTTCTTCTGGTCCCAGGTTGGTGGAGGCTGGGGTCACATGGCCTGCCAGTCCTCTGGACCAGTTGTTTCCATGCATCTTTGATTTTCTTTGCTGTTGACAGAGTCGGTGCATTTTTGATCTTCTTTGTTCTGGACAGGGTCAGCACATATTTTGGAGACACAATTCAGGTCATAACACTCCCCATCAAAATTTATTGAATATTTTTTGCTACTAGGTAAGGTTTCATAGTTACTATATATTAGATCCTCAGATCTAATGATTTCATCAGTTTATGTCCAAATGAGTCATCAAGTCATGTGGACAGGATGTATATTAACCAAGCGGTCTCTGGAAATAAAACCCTTTGACGCCCTGCCTTAAAGGCTGAATGCTTAAGTTGACTGTTTCTGTCCATCCTAGTGTGTAAACACTCAGTTTAAAGGCAGTCCTCAACAGTGGGGTCTTGTTTTGTTTCCAGAGGCCTGTAGGAGATTGCTGATCACCAGATGGGTTGTTTGTTAATGTGTCTGGTTTATACTCTGTAGCTGGCTGGCTTTTAAAATCCTTAATAAGTAACTTGAGACATTTTTCTGATGTTGGTAGATCAGAAGTTTTATTCTTTTAAGAGACATTTATGAAGGATTGCTCAGGACTGGGTTCTTCTCCAGATACAGCAAGTGTTTTCAAGAGTTTAATGGATAGAAAGTTTAGTAGTAGAAGAGGATGGGATTCTCTGACCCAGCAGGACTGTGCGTTTGAGTAAATATCTTGTGACTAGGAAGAGGAGTGTGGAACTGTTCCCAGTCTCTACTCTGTAGTCTCGGGCCTGTGGTCCAGTATGCCTCTGCTTGTTACTAGTGATGCAACTTTGGGCTTATCATATAATCACTTTGAGCTTGTTCTCTTGGTAGTAAAACAGGGATGATAATGATTCCCTTATAGAGTTGATTTAAGAGAAAAATGAGACAGTGCATAAACTGATTTGTACAGAGTCTTGACCAGGTATGAGCTTAAAAAAAACCCACCCAAAGTCTCCCAAAAGAAACTTTATTCCCCCCTTGCTTAATTGAGAGCTTTATGTATAGATTTAAGGGAGATCTTTTAGTGTAGTCTATTGGAAGTTGTAGATTAATGTCCAAGTATAGACTGTTGTGTTCAGGTTTTGTAATATTTCTTAGTCCTATGGGTTTGTACTTTTTAAGGGTTTGGTGGTGTAGTGGTGCTAGAAGAGAGAGAGAGAGAGAGAGAGAATGAATATGAGTGTGTGTGTGTGTGTGTGTGTGTGTGTGTGTGTGAGTGAGTGAACATACGAGGTGCTTAGCTGTAATATATCCCTAACTACTCACCCTTTACCCTCTGCAAAGGTTGGGCTGAAGTGACTCAGGGAGAAACTAACCCTCACACTGGGAGTCAGACTCACCAGGCATGACAGCCTGAAGGCTGTTTGGGCATCTGGCATCCTTAATTTGACTAGTGCTACATTCCCCATGTGAGTCCCTGGTGAGTTCTGTTTTCACTTTGACTGTGGTAACTTGAGTGAGGTTTTTCTAAAGTAAAGGTGAGGTAAGCTCTCACGACGTTAAGAGACTATCAAGTTTCTAGGACCCAGATCACTAACCCTGGGCTTTTTTTTTATGATTTTGAGTGTCCTCAACTTAAGTCATCCCAGCAGGACTTGCTCTCTCATGTTGTGGCTGGACTCTGGATTTAAAGACAGTGCACAGGGCTGTTGAAACAGTTAAGCACTTGACTACTTGCCAGAAGGTTTGTGGTTCTAATCTATTTAGAGACTCTTGGAATATAGGCCTGATGACCTACATCTAATAGATTTTTGCTTTTGTTAGGTACCATCAAGTTAACCACCACGCTTAGTGACCATGTGGATAACAGTTACAAACGTTGCCCTATGTCCCTATGTAAATCTATCTTGAAGGTCATCTTCTTTTTCTATGGCCCTCTACTTTCCCCCACATGATGTCTTTTTTCAAGAACTAGCCCCTTCTGACAACATGCCCAAAGTATATATGGGGTGAGGGTCCACCATCCTGGCCTTCCACTTCCTCTGAGACAGACTTGTTTGGTTTTTTGGCAGTTAGTCCATAGGATACTCAGGACTCTTCTCCAGCTCCACAATTAAAAGGCATTGGTTCTTCTTTTTCTATCCTCATTCATTGTCCAATTTTCAGATGCATAGGAAGTAATTGACAAGACCATGATTGGATCCAGTCAGTTACAGCCTTGACAAGCCTGGAGCAGATCTGCTTTGTACATAGGCATTGGTGATGAGTTGGAATTGTGAAGACAATTATCAATAACGACTCAGGAATTTCTAATTCCTTGTAATGTGTCTTTGCTTGAAACATGATATCCCCCAATGTGGTCCATACTCTGTATTTTCCACTAAGGAAACATTGAACAGAGTATTCTTGGGCCATTTGACTTTAGCATTTACAGTACTCCTCATCTGTCCTTTCCTTTTTGTGGCATCTACCATCTCATTGAGGAACCACTTTGTGGGGAAAGGTGCCAGACAATTCCACTAGCTCTCTCTCTGTGCCTACCCTCTGTCTTGCTTTTCTTTCCTTTATTTATCCATGCTTTTTTTGGTCCCTGGAGTCTATTTAGATATGATTGCCACTTGGCTGCTTAAAAGCTTAGCCATTGCTAAGTCTAGAGTGCTCTTCAGATTCTTAAGCATATCATTTAAGTTCTCTCAGACTGTATTCCGGCTCATGTTCCACCCACGGTGACCAGAGTTTCCCAGACATGCCTTTCACTTGGCCCCAAAGCACTTTAACTGATAGGGTGTTTCATGCCAGGAACGTGGTTCTTTTCCATTGAGTGGCTCCTCAAAGTTTACAGAGAGTGTTTGTTCACAGATAGACGTTCTCTCCTGATCTCTCTGCAGCCTAATCACTGGGACTGACTGGTCTCACCATTTCCAGTTGCAGGTTGGTGAATGTGTGACTTCACTGCTTGTGGGAGAGCCTGACTTTAAACCCAGGCCTTCTACTATTCTGCAAAGCCCAGACTGCCCTCTCTAATGTTTTCCTTAGAGGCAAACATTACCCTGACTTTCTTTTAGGCTCTGGTATAGTGAGTTTCTTTTTATTCCATGTTGATCACATTATAGCATGTTGCTGTTCTGGGATCTCCGTGACACCTTTCATCACATCCCGATCCTAGATTTCTCAAAGAGATTCCTTACAAGCTTGCTTCCTTAAGCATTCAGAATTGTAGCTGGCATTTGGTGGGAATTCAGAAGGGGTTTGTTTGCATGAATATATGAATTAATAGTGGGGTTTTTAAATATCCTCTTAATCTGTGGTTTACTGGAGTATGTTGTTGATAGCCTTTGAGTCAAACAGGACTCATAGCGACCCTGTGAACAAAAGGCCTGAAGCCTTTCCTTAACTATTGACATTTATCAAAGTTCATAGAGCTTTCAGAGGCATTCTGTTTAGGAAGTAGATGCCACTCCAGTAATTAGGCTATTTAAAACTATTCTGGGAAACACCTATATTTTAAATTTTTAGAATAGAATGTTAATTATTTTATTCCCTCTGTCATCTCATAGAGACACAATCAAGCTTTTCCTTTTATAAAGAAAGCTGATAAAACATAATTATATGTATTATGGAAATGTAATATTTGAGCTAGATTTCCAGTGAACACAGCTGTACCTAGAAGAGACTTACAGGAATGATCTTTCTTAGATACACTTTAGGGCAGGGGAGGGGAGGTGTGGGGGGGAAAAAAAGAAAAGAAAAAAAGATCCACTTTAATCTGTCAGCACCTATCTTCCCAACACTTTAATGAAAAATATACTTAAGTCTAAACGCTGGACATTTATTTCTTCTATCATGAATGAAGTATAAATAAAAGCATCTTTAGAAATTGTTGCTGTTTATTGATAGCTTGCATATTGGCTACAAAACAAGCCCCCAATCTTCCTCATCTCGATAAATGCCCTGAAGCGACTGCTGTGCTGACCAATATTTGAGAATTTGTCTTGTTTCAGATTTTACCTCACACTACCTAGTTTATTTATCCACCAGTTGCTGCACAAGAAAGGATGGTCAGTCTCCTCCTGTGCTATTAACTGCCTCTGAAAACCCACTGGAGTGTCAGCTGTTGGGTCATTTCCAACTTGATGGCACACAACAAGAGCAACATAGTTTTAGGCAAATAGACATTATGGTTAAATTGTGTTCCAGCAAAGTGTATTTTGGAGTCCTAAATACACATTCCTAAAAAGGTCTCTGTACTTGTGAATGTAATGCAATTTCTGTAGATGCAATGTCATGTCATAGGATGTAATTTCTTTCCACAGTACAATTTAGCATGATATGATCAATCAATCGAGATCATATTCCTGGGCTATATAAAAAAATAGTATAGATACACACAAGTGCACACGCAAAGAAAGACAGGA